TTCGTTCGGTCGTTGAACTTGTTCCGTTTTCGGTAACTAGTGACTTGTTGGCGACCCAAGTAAGAGGACTCAACGGGCAGCGTTTATGGCTTTGTTTGAATCAGTCACGCGTTGTGGTTCCTGACCTAGTCAACAGCACCTAGGCTTCGCGCGTGGAGAGAATCTGCTCAATCTTGGAAGGCATTGCTGAGGCTGGAACCACAACTGGCGCCCAGGCATCTCAGGTACAGGGCCTGTTGAATTTTGCATGTGGCTTCTATTCGACCAAAGCTTGCAAGCAGTTTTTTCTTGCTTTACTCCGTTGGCCGACATAGAGACTCTAAAGCCAATGCAGAACGTTTACGGCTTGTTTGTAGGTATGCCATAAACCTCTTAAAGCGCCTTGAGCCCCGTAAGCATAAACTCACGGACCCCATCACCTGTTCTTGTTTTCACTGATGGCGCCTGGGAAAATTGTATTGCGACTGCAGGAGCAGTTTCTTCGATTGCGCCGCGCAACCGTCCTTTTGTGGTAGCGTTGAAGTTCCGCAGGCTTTGGTGGATCGATGGTCCTCGGACATGGACCAGATAAGCTGCCAAATTGAAATGTGGGCTTTGCTATCTTTGAAATGGCACTTTAAACAAGAATGGGTAAATAGGAGGGTCATAGCATGGATTGACAACGAAGCCGCTCGTGCCGCCTTTGTCAAATGTACGTCTCCATCCCTGACCTTGGCCTCGATGTGTAGAGTGCATTGTGACATGGAGGGTAGGTGGCCGACCATGACATGGGTTGAACGGGTGTGCTCCTACAGCAATCCTAGACCTCCTTCAGTTGCCCCTGTCTCCTGAAATAGCGGCGGACTCTCAACTGTGCGCGGTGGTCTTCAAGTCGCTTTTGCAGAGCCTCTCTTCTTGCCTGGGGAACAACTGAGGATCCGCTGGCGTGACGTGCGCGCAAAGCATCACCAAGACACCCGGTATGTGGATAACATGAAACCACACCGTGTTACACCTCACGGCTGAATCGCACTGTGTGATTTGATCCCCTGACCAAAATATGAGCGGACAAAAAGGAAATTAATAAAGCGCGTCTGATTTCAAGTTTTATAAATGTATGAATTATGTCCTTGGTTCAAAAACATTCCCTTTGATAGCCATAGACCTGTTTAATAGACAAGATGCAAGCTGTCACGAAGTGAGAGCTAAATCTTTTTAGATTAAAGAGCAGCTCCTTTGTTTATTCACGCGTAAACTAGGAGCGGTCTCTGGCGGGGAAAAAAGGAAAAATTGAAGAGCGCACACGACTCAATCTCTCTTTTCTCTTCGGTCGTGAGTCATAAGTATACTCGTCGCATTTATGCTCAAGTGGCGGGTGGGCGGGTTAAAAAACCGTTGAGCTGATTTGTTTCGGCCCACCCAAACTTCGTTTCTTCCACCCTGGGGAAACAACTGAGGATCCGCTTGCGTGACATGCGCACAAAGCATCGCCAAGACACCGGGTATGTGGATAACATGAAACCACACCGTGTTACTGTGTGGTTTGACCCCTGACCATAAAGAGCGGACAAAAAAGAAATTAATAAAGCCCGTCTGAATGCAAGTTTTTTGTATATGAATGAATTATACCCTTGATTCAAAAACATTCCCTTTGATAGCCATAGACCTCTTTAATAGACAAGATGTTGCAGTCATGCAAGTGTGCTGTGCCAATTGCATTGCCTTTTGGAGAGGGTTTTGGATGGAAGCGTGACGTGTCAGATTGATGTGAAATAGCGAGGAAACGTGTGGATACGGATACGTAAGATGTTGAAGTGTGGAGGACAGTGGAGGATGATTTCACTGCGCAGGCGCAGCGTTTTGTGAGATCGGCAGTTTTCTGCGCAGTCACATTGAGATTGGCTTTTGGAGAGTAGTGTTTTTGGGGTGTTGGATGTGGCTGTGACATTGGGATTTGCGTTTCAGGGTGTTGCGTCGAAGCTGTGTTTTCGTGACAAGTCTTAGCCGAAATGTTGATTTTGGTGGATGGGAGCGTGCTCAGAACGGGTCGAAATCGTTCCAAACGGGGGGTGTGGTGCAAATTTTGTTGAAGCTCTCATGATATGATATTGTCACTTTTCGTGGCAGACGCAGTACTTTGCGCGGGTTTTGAGGTGTGAAGTGCGATTTTCGTGGCAGGCGCAGTACTTTGTGCGTGTCAGACGTGTGGACGCGTAAGTTTTCGTGGCAGGCGCAGGTTGCAAGTTGTAGTGGAGGTGCGTGCCGCTGCGACATTGGGATTGGCGTGTGAGCGGCCGTTGTTTGGAAGGGCTGGAATCGCGAAACTGCATTGGCTGGGCTGCTTGATGTGTGTGCTCCGACAGGGCTTCCCGCTTGACATTTGGAGGAAGTCTCGTACTTACAACGTGGTTGTTTTGGAGACTTTGACATGTGACTTTTGGAGGAAGTCTCGTACGAAACGCTCCTTTTGGAGACTT